AGAAAGCAGGGGATGAATATACAAAGTTATCACAGATTTCCAAGTGTCAAGGACTGGAGTGTGAAGTAAAAAAGGAATTCAAAGAAAGCCACACAGTAAAGAACAAGCCTGCCAGGGGTAGGAAACAAAAGATTTTAAAGACCCTGGATTTGGATTTCAGTACAGCAAACAAACATGATATTACTAAATATCATCAACAGGCTAAATGAACTTCTGTATCCTTAGATGAGTGAAATAAATTAGCAAACAAACCAACAAACTAAATGATTTTACTATTACCAAATCAAAGCAATCTGTTGGTAATAATGGTGCCACTCTGCGTGGTTTGAATTATATATATCTAGACTCTAATTTGTCCATGTAAATGGTCTTCCTAACTCACTAAGGTTAATTATGGAGCTCCACAAGCTTCCATGCTAGGACCACTTCTATTTAGATTACACACTGTTTTTCAGGCTTCCCTTAGAGCTACGTATTATCTGCATAGCAATGAAAATGTGTGCTCTCCCTCAACACGACACATATTAAAACATTCCTGCAGTTTAACAGCAGAAATGTCTTAAAAGGTTAAAGGCCCGATGACTTCAGTGACACTGTGAGGGCTCCTGAAATCATTGTTGACTAGGACATGTTCTTCAGTGTTCACATTAATGCACAAATAGGAGACACACCAATTAGTTAAACTGCAGAAATGTCTTTAAGACGTAAAGGCCTGACCTCCCATTTTCTCCTTCTAAATTCAGATAAAACTCAGGTTATTCTACTTGGCCCTTAAATTCTCAGAAATATGGTATCGAACCAGATGCTTACTCTGGGTGGCATTACCTTGGCCTCCAGTAACACAGTGAGAAATCTTGGAGCCATTTTTGACCAGGCTATGTCCTTCAGTGCACATATTAAACAAATATATGGGACTGCTTTCTTGCATTGGCACAATAGCTCTAAAATTAGAAACATTCTGTCTCAGAATGATGGAGAAAAACTAGTTCATGCACTTATTACTTCTAGGCTTGACTACTCCAACTCATTATCATCAGGTTATCCTAACAACCCCTTGAAAGGTCCTTCAGCTGATCCAAATTGCTTAAAGGCCTCCTTTACCACCTTGTAAACACATCACTACTTTCCATCCACTGTTTCCTCTAATAATAATAATAATGCATTTTATTTGAGGGCGCCTTTCAGAAACCCAAGGTCACCTTACAAAAAACAAAATTAATAAAAGGAACAGTAGTCATAAAATACATAAAATAAGTTAAAATTACAAAACAGAGCTTGACAACAGATAAATTCAGCATTAAAGCGAATAAGCCAGTTTAAACAGATGTGTTTTGAGCTGTGTCTTAAATACGGAGAGGGAGTCAATATTTCTTAGTGCAGGAGGAAGAGAGTTCCAGAGCCGAGGAGCAGAGCAACTGAAAGCTCAGTTCCCCATAGTGATAAGGTGTGAGGACAGAACAGTAAGATGAATAGCAGATGATGATCTGAGAGGGCGGGAAACAGTGGTGATATGGAGCAGCTCACACAAATATGAAGGAGCAGATTTATGGACACACTTGTATGTAAGAAGTAAGATTTTAAAATTTATCCTGGCTTCTACGGGAAACCAGTGAAGCTGCTGAAGAACTGGGGTAATATGAGCACTTAACGGAGTGCAAGTTATGACCCGAGCTGCAGAATTTTGAAGAAGTTGGAGTTTATGAAGGGACCTTTCAGGGAGACCAAATAGGAGGGAATTACAGTAATCAATACGGGACGTAATAAGACTATGGACAAGGATGGCAGCAGCATGGGGAGTAAGGAAGGGACAGAGTCGGTGAATATTACGTAAATGGAAGTAAGCAGACCGGGTTATGTAATTAATGTGAGACTGGAATGAAAGAGTATTATCAAGTATGACACCCAAACTCTTAACCTGAGGGGAGGGAAGGGTGGGAGAACGTTCAATGTTAATGGAAAAGCTGTGGGATTTGGTTAAGATAGATGGTGTACCAACAAGTAAAACTTTATTTTATTACTGTTGAGTTTGAGAAAATTGGACGAGAACCAGGATCTAATCTCAATAAGACAGTCTGAGAGGGAGGTAGGTGGGAGGGATGAATTGGGTTTAGAAATGTAGAGCTGGGTGTCATCGGCATAACAGTGAAAATTTATATTGTATTTTCAGAATATATATATACCAAGAGGGAGCATATAAATAAGAAATAAAAGAGGCCCTACTACTGAACCCTGGGGCACACCAGCAGAAACAGGATAGAGAGTTGAAGAATGGGATTTAAATTGGATAAACTGAGTGCGGTCTGAGAGATAGGAGGTAAACCAGGTAAGCGGGGTGTGACTAATACCAATGGAAGCTCACCGGTTCAGGAGAATATTGTGAGAAATGGTATCAAACGCCACACTAAGATCAAGAAGGATGAGGATGGATAGGAGACCAGAATCAGCTGCCATCAGAAGGTCATTGGTAATCCTTAACAGAGCAGTTTCTGTGCTATGATTGGGGCGGAAACCAGATTGAAATTGTTCATAGAGATTATGGTCATTGAGATGTAAATGAAGCTGGGTGGCGACAACTTTTTCAAGAATTTTTGAAATAAAGGGGAGATTTGATATAGGGCGAAGATTATCAAAGTTATTGGGGTCTGCACCAGGCTTTTTGAGAGTTGGGATAACAGAAGCCTTTTTCAGTGCTTCAGGAACAATTCCAGTGTTCAGGGAGGAATGCATAATATTGGTTATGAGAGGAGCTAAAGAGGGAAGACAGGCTTTAACTAACACAGTGGGGAGAGGGTCAAGTTGACAGGTGGATGACTTAGATTTTTTAATGAGATTAGACACATCAGTTATGGAGGGAACAGTAAAGCTTGAAAATAACTGACAGGAAGACAGTGGGGGAACCGGGAAGTCTACTTCAGAGTCAGGAGCTCCTAAAGAGTTAAGTTGACAGTGAATATCTGAGATTTTACAAGTGAAAAAAGAGATAAGAGAGTTGCAAAAATCAACAGAATACATGTGGGAGGGGAATGTGTCTGGAGGTTTTGTAATTTTACTGAACAATGAATAGAGGGACCTGGAGTTACCTTCATTAGAACTAATTAAACCAGAGTACCAAGCAGATTTGGCTGAGGCAATGCAGTCCTTATAGAACAGAACATGATCATTGTGCATTTCTTTATGTACAGTAAGTCCGGTTTTCTTGAATAGACGTTCAAGTTGGCGTTCTTTAGCTTTAAGGTGACGCAATGAGACAGTTTGATGTTTAAGGGGAGCAAATATGTTAAGAAGGTTATGAAGGTTGACATTATAATGACAAACGAGTTCATGAGGGGTTGAGGAGCAGTGGATAGATGGAAGGTCATGGACAGCAGATGAAAAAACAGCTGGGTTGATATTACTAATCTTCCTAAAAGTGATATTACGAGAGATACAGGTTTTGGAAGCGCTTATGTTTGCATCAAAAGAAATAAACATATGATCAGACTGGGGAAACAATGTGGCTTTACAATGGGTGGGGGTAATGCCAGAACAACAGATCAAATCCAGGATATGACCTTTAGAGTGGGTAGGAAATTTTATGTACTGTAGAAGCCCAAAACTTTCCAGGCAGGAGGTAAAATCTCTGGAAAGAAAGAGGGATTTTATCATTGTCCATATGAATATTGAAGTCACCAGCAATGATCAGATTTGGAGAAAGTACAGAAAAATGAGTGAGAAGAGCAGAAAATTCATTTAAAAACTCCTTGTTTGGCTTAGGTGGCCGATAAACAGTACATATGATGGTGGGGGTAGATCCAGGGAGCTGCAGTGCAATGTATTCAAATGGATGGGAGGGAGGGGCAGAGACAGGGAGCACTTTCCAGTGCCTCCGGTGAATTATCGCGAGACCTCCGCCCCTCCCCGAGATGCGAGGTTGACAGGTGTAAACAAACTCAGATGGAGTGGAGTCATTGAGAGAAACAAAGTCATTGGGCTGTTGCCATGTTTCAGTCAAGCAAAGAAAGTCCAACTTACAATCACAGAGGAGATCATGGACGAGATGTCCCTTACCAGTGAGAGAGCGGAGGTTTAATAGACCAAACTTGATGCTGGAGTTACCATGCTGGACAGTAGGCTTAGTCGATCTAGCCAGGTGGGCCAGCACATTGTGGTCGACAGCCCGGTCAGTCTTGCGGGGAGGACAACGAGTTTTTCACCAGATGGACAATACTGAGTTAGTGTCACTGATATTGAACTTCCGCCGAAGCCCTCGGTGGATATACCTGTGGCGGGGCTGGAAGGCGATGTCCGGGTAGAAGTATAGAGCCACAGGTGGAGAGACAGCCAGGCAGAAATGGAGCCGCAAAAGATCCGTAGCAGAGTACTGGAGAAGAGCTGTCGCCGGGTGATGAATGATGGATAAAAAAACCCAGGTGAGCACGAGCCACACCAACACCCTGTGGAGCCGCATCTTAATCAGGGCCGAGCACTGAACACAAACGGAGGGACCGAACAACCAGCTGACAGCTGCAGCGCAAGCAATAGGAGCCCGCAAATGTTGCGAAAACAAGTCAAAACAGGGTTGCGCCTTAGATACTTGGTTCACATTGTCGTCAGCAACTGAAAAAAAATTATAATAAAAATAGTAATGGTAATAATAATAACCGGTGAGCAACGGCAGCCAAGCGCGGCAGCGTTCACTCGACCGGAAGCCACATCTATGTTTTGCCTGTCATATGGAGCAGCTGGTAGAGTCGTGCTTGTTTGAGATATTTGTTTTCATTTGGGTCACAAGTCACCAGCTGCTAATATCATCTTGATTGTAGTTTAACACTAAAGTTTTACCTTTTTGACACGACTGACTGCGTATGTCCACAATTCCCCCCAAAAATCCAATATAACGTGAGTGACGTGGAATCGTTTGTTTTACTTTATATTGTGAGCTGTTTGGTGAAAGACATTCACATTTTCTTAGAGACAAAGTGTTCCCTATATTAACAAAAAAAACATTTTTTATTACTCACGTTCACTGAAGTGGGAGCTAGAATCAATTTTCCAGACTATTTGTCCTTTGTGAGATCCATTGATGCCTCGGTTCTTGTAGTCCAGAAAGTTCTCCGATAACGTCTCATCTGGAAAGAGAGATGAATGAGAGCTCAAACCATACTGCACGTCCAAGCTTCTGAATTTCTTTCTGTAATGTAATGGCAACAAAATAAAATGATAGCTGAAACTACTGGTATTCACTTATACAACTGGACAAGTGGAAATCCTTTGCTTTGAGATAAAGTAAACTCTGGTTTTACATATCAGGACATGATTATTTGGCCCTTAGCACATCTGAAAATTAAATAAGCGCTTTATGTATGAATGTACCAGTCTGTTGTATCGTTGTGGAGAAATGTTGGCCCACTATTGATTTTAAACAATGCTTAAGTAGTTTTAGGTTTTTGAGCGTTCGCTTACATATGGCTCTCCCGTGGTCTTGCTGCGTCATTTTAACAACACCACCATGTCCACCACGAACTCTTCTGTGTACCAGAAGGTTTCCCAAAGTGTTACTTTATTTAAGTTACAGCCCACTAAAGGTGGTTATACAAGATACTGAATCATAGGGTGTAAATAATTTTTCACTCACTGCTTCTGCATTTGGCTTAGTGTTTATTAAATAAATGATTTATGATATAATAATACAACAATTATTTCTTCTAACATAACAGCTCATGTGCTGTTGCTCATCTCGGGTTGTATTTACCTCATTTTAAGACCTGCCTGATATGTAAAACCTTGGAATTAACTGGGTGTACTTTGTTTTTAATGTGACTGTATGTTTGCAGATACTGCCTATCTAGAACAGACTACCTGATGCATGACATGCCTGCTTGAATGAAAATCTATATCACAGACTTCAGAGCTATCAGCTTTTTCAGAGAAGAGCACTGAAGTTACATTGTTGCTTTGTGTCTTAAAGCTTCATTAGCAAGCCTACATGTTACCATTAGTCAAACAATAACATAAATACATACAGAAAAGTAAGTAAGGTAAATGACTACAAGTGGTTTGTGCATGCTGTAATATCCAGTTTCTAACTAACCACTTGTGCTCTCTATTTACACACATCTTTGATTTATTTTCCACCTCTGGGACTTATGCTGCCATTTTTAAACAAAGACAAATGGCACTAAAATCATGACGTGATAACCATCACAGCAGAGGACAGCAAACCAGAGTAGCATACTGTACAAAAACAAATAAGATTTTTTTAACACTACTTTCAGAGTCAATATATTTAAAACTCTAAAATCTCAAAGCACGTGACATCTTACCAACTAAATACATCCCAATCCAGTCTCCAGCATCCACTTCTTCCTTGATGTCCCATGTGATCACCAGGTCTTCGGACTGGCCTATGATGTAGTGGGAAGAGCTGATGGTAAGAGTGGAACGTGCATCTGGAGAGACCAGATCAGTGTCGCTGGTGGAGCGTGACAGTCCCAACATAAAAGCATCCTGGTTCAGGCCATTGACAGCAAAGGACTCAGGGCCATAGCTGTGCCGAACCGCATCCTTACAGCGCTGGCGGGTCTGGCTGCTGCGAGTTGGGGATGCCATGGCCGCCAAGCCCAGGAACCGATTTTGGTACAAGTTCTGCAACGACATACACAGAAAGAAGCTTTTAGCAGAATCAAAGCTACAAAAACACGAAGTACCTACAGTGGTTGAAAATTTGTGGCCTCTTTAAAATGTAAAAGTGCATTTTCATATACAATATAACTTTATTTGACTGGCTTTTGTAAAAACAAAATAAAAAATAGAAATCTGTCAAAAACTCGTTTAAAACAATAAAGTGACTGAATTCACGTTTTTATACACATTTTGATCACTATGGTGGTCAGTGCTCTCTCTTATGCTGCAGCTTGGTGGACACCAAAACAAAAAATATCCTCAATATCAACTCGATCACACAGTTGCACAACAATGCAATGATGATGCGCTGATAACAGAAAACGGTCATGTATTTTAATGTTGTCTGATGACTGACGTCAAACACAGATCTTCTTCCAGCTAGAAGCAGAGCAGCTTGTGTTTGGTAACACAGCAATATTCTGTTAATCGTTTAGCAGATTGTTTTTTAACTGTGACCAACAGCTGAAATGCAAGCTACTAAATCAGTGTTAAATCAGCCTGCCAGTCATCCTGTGCCACTGTAGGGACGCACCACTGCCTCTGTTCTTCTAATTTGACACTTCCAATCGAAAAAACAATCGTGGAATTTACCTTCACCTTTTTATTATGTGTGTATAGTCTGTGCTTTATCTCTTAGTTATAGTAAGTCTGTGTGCCCTAATTTAATATGCTGATGTGTCAGCTCGTGGGTCCCATTTGAACACTGACAGTGAGCCAGTTAGATGATGACACAGTTTTTGTAATTCTGTCTCTGTACTGAAGCTCTTAACAGTTTTTAACAAAAGCATGGCATTCAATTCAATTCAATTTTATTTTATTTATAAAGCGCAACAACAGTCACAATCACAACAACAGTCGCCTCAAGGCGCTTTATATTGTACAGCAGATCCTACAGTAATGGTAGGATCACAGTAGAAATTACAGCCATTCTGAGATATATAACCACATTTTCAGAGTCTCAACAGGAATTGGTCAACTGATGTACAAGCTGTTTCATGGTCAGGTCTATTAGGTCTCTGCCTATTATTCCTTGGCAGCCACACAAATAAAATATATGTAGGGCACTCTGAATGTTCAACTTGGATGTGTCAGTTTGTGTCAGAGGCCATCAATTGATTGATTGATTGATTGATTGATTGGTAATTTATTTCAACATGTGAACAATATACAAGTACATTTAGAAAAGAAATAAGAGAGAAAAAAAATACTATACAAATTACATACAAAAAACCATTCTGATTAATTTACATGTTGAAAGGGAGTGGGAAGAAGTATACACTTATTATCAATAGGCTGAAAAAACAAAAATAAACCTATCAGCAAGCAAAAACTGGCCAGTGCTTTCTTTCTGTTATATCACAGCAACACCAAAAGGCCTGGAAGACTCAGAACAAAACTTATGTGGGCGATACCAGAATTCTTTTCTTGATTAAGAAAAATAACTTGATGTCCAAAGTGTACAATCAAGAGACAGAGAGGGTTACAAGGATGGCAAACCACTAATTCCCCTCGGCAACTGGAAGAGCCTGCAAAGTTCTACAAAAAATTAACTTGCGCCAGAATGATGGGAAGAAAACAGCATGGAGGAGGAAAGGCACAACTCGTGATCTTCAGCATACCATGACATCTATCAAACATGGTGGAGACATGGGCACACTCATCATTTAAAAAACTGCATTTTGTATTTACTTGGTTTATTTTTGTCTCATATTAGAATTTTTGGATGATCTGAAACATTTCAGTTTGACAGACTGTACATTCACTTGACTGTAGAGAGGTAGTGCTGAAGGTTCAATGATGTCTTTTATATTTGTGAAAGCCAAGGCCTATTAACTTTTTGTTAGTATGATTAACTACAACTTTGCCAGCATAAAAAGGATTTGTTTGACAGCACTCACTGTCAATACAACGGAAAAGTCCAAGGAGCTCAGTGAAGAGCTATGAACGAGGATTGCAGATTTACACAAGTTGTGAATGTCTCTTAGAGCCATTTCTAAGCAACTCCAGATTCCAAGATCATCAGTCCAAACAACTGTATGAGAGTACAAGTTATTTGGATGTGTCACCGCTTTGCCAAAGTCTGCAAGAAGACCCTCAGATTAGTTAGGGTGTTCAGGAACAACTCAGGTCAACTGTCTTGAACTTAAAGCTGCTGCAACACTAGTCTCACTGTTGACAGTGAAGCCAGTTTTACATTATTATGGACAGAGGGTGCTGACCAAAATAACATGAAAACGTCTATCGTTTCATTTTACGCTATTGTTTGTGTCGTGGTGTCGCAAAATAAACTGTTTACGGCAATATTTTTTCATCGTTTTGATGGACACTGTAGTTGCCATATTAATTTTTTAAAGTTCTCTCTTTATCTTATATTTAAAACAGACAGGCGACTGTTTTCACGCGTTGCCGTTAGGAACAACGGCGGTACACCACCTGGGTCTGGGTGCAGTT